GGGCTTCAGAGGGAGCTGGGGGGCTAAGGAGGGACTGGCGCTCGGAACTTTTCAGTGGCGCCTGCTGAGGTCCTCTGGCCCCCTCCCCTTCCCGAGCCCTCAGGCTGGGTGACTGGTAAGACCTTTCAGGAGGGGCCACCACGAGAGTCTGGGCCCTGGGAATGTGAGAGCATCAGGGGAAACTGAGGGCCAAAGAGAATGTCTTCTCTGTGCAGAGGAAATGAGGCAGTGTCCCCCTCACCTGCCCTCGTGGCCCCCCCGACACTCATACGCCACTGTCACAAAACCTCTGGCTCCCTGGTGGATGCTGGAATTCTACCCAGAACCAGGATCTTCTGGCAGGTCACCAGCCAGGGCTTTGGAGAGGGGCTTCCCTACGCCCCCGTCCCAGATGCCCCCTGTGCTCTGATACCTGCCCATTTGCTTTGATTTCACCTTCTATGTGTAATGCACTCTCCCATCGATTTTTTTTTTGCATGACTTGCCTTTGTAAAGTACATTTTACAAAGGAGAAACTGAGGCTCAAAGCCGCAAAGTGAGTTTGTGCCAGCCTGCAGGCTCCAGATGTTGTCCATGGCAAGCCGGACACGGGGCACTCTGTGACAAGGGGCTGTCCTCCTTCCCGCCTGAGTCTGGGTCCCAATGTGAGCTGGGTCTTCTCCTTACATGCCTAGGCTCCTCCCATCCCCCTGATTCTTGGCGCCCTGGGCACTGGGTACAGCTGTGTGACCTGTGCACTGTGCAACACCAGAGGGTGATGTCATCTATGAATGGCACCCCCTGGAGTTGTGCAGCACTAGGCCCTACTCAGCATCCTTACCCTCCACCAGCTTCCTACAGGGCCATTTGGAGATCTTGGGCCTATAAGTTGCACAGGAAAGATTTACAGTCCCCTCAACCACCTCCTGGAGCCTGAAATCCAGGTGCCTGGTCAAAAGACAGTGGTGTTCAGGAAATGACCAGCAGACTCAGAGAGGGGCCAAGAGGAGTGCTGGAGCAGAGCAGAAGCGGTAGAAAATGCGACCAGGGCTAAGCTCCAGCCTGGAGGTGAGGAGACGAGGGAACCAGGCCTGGCCTAGCCACCAAGTGGCTTTGTGCCTCCATTTTCCTGTCTGTAAACAGGGAAAGTGCAGCCTGCTTACCTCTGAGGCCTCTTTTGATTCTACTGCAGATTTTCCCAGAGAGTCGATGAAAGAAACAGAAACTAGAATCCAACTGAAAAGTCAGAAGAAGGGGGCACCTGGGTGGCTCAGTCTGTTGAGCTTTCGGTCAGGTCATGATCTCAGGGTTGTGAGATCAAGCCCTGCGTTGGGCTCCATGCTGGGCGTGGAGCCTGCTTGCGATTCTCTCTCCTTCTCCCTCTGCCTCTCCCCAGCTTGTGCTCGCGCTCTGTCTCTCAAAAGGAAAGAAGGAAGGAAGGAAAGAGGAAGGAAGGAAGGAAGGAAGGAAGGAAGGAAGGAAGGAAGGAAGGAAGGAAGGAAGAGAAAAGGCAGAGGGAGGGTCTTGTGAATTTGCTATCTGGGGCGTGATTCCATACACTTATCTCCGCTCCCGGCCGGGGACACACACTCAGAGTCTGGATCTAAGGTCACCGGGAGAAGGCTCAGGGGCCAGCAGAGCAAAGCAGGAGAAGCATATGGAGCGAGGAGGTTATTGACTAAAACTTAAAACCTAAGCCAGCCAACCAGAGAGGAGGGGATAGGTATTCCAGAAAGGGCTGGGTGGCCCCAGCAACAAGGGGTCCCCAGAAGTAACAGGGACCAGAGTGGCCAGGCCAGGGAAACAGGCCAGCCGCTGAGAAGGGGAGAGCAAAAGGGAGGCCTCACCGGGGGCCTGGGGTTTATAAAGCACCAGAGCATGATCCCTTGTCATCCTCACACCACCTGAGGAGGGAACGACTCTGTTTCTTCTTGTGTAGGGGAGTAAAGAATGCCTGAACAGAAGGTTGCCGGTCTGAAGACGTCCAGCATGGGCTGGGGCCCAAGACCTCCATCCCCTGATGCCCAATCTGGTTTTCATTGTCACTGAACTACCATGAGGCCTTGAATAATAAGATCAAGACTTGGAATAACAGCTTATGGGCAATGGGGGCCCCCCAAAAGTCTTTGAGCGGAAGAATAACCAGGAATGAGCCTAGGAGGCTGGAGGGTGGTGAGAGAAATGGAGGCAGGACCTCCTTAGGAGGAATATTTAGATTTAGTGAAAGGGTCAATCCGGGGCCCTCTGAGGGTTTGTCTTGGAGAAGCCGATTACAACAGTGGTTGTCCGCCTCCAGGGGGTCCCGGGGGCATGCCCCAGGGCTACGGGAACTGAGCTCCGGCCTGGGGATGACACTGCAGGGACCCAACTTAAGCTCAGAGCCAAACCCCCACCCCCTAGGCTTTACTCCTGCCTAATTGGCTTAGATTTATCAAAGTAATTTTTAAGGGGGAATTTTATATGAAGGTAATTACGCTCAGCTGAACTAATTTTATTAAACAATGCTGCCTTAATGACAAACAAATCTGTTATTAATTTGTAACCAAGCAGCTATTCCATTCAATTTGCAGCATCAGTAATGAGCCCTGTGGCCGGAACAGCCCAGAAGCGCCCCTTTCCGAGGAAGGCAGCGCGGCCAGGAGGCCAGAAGCCGGGCCCTTGCCCCCACTCCGCCATGGACACGTGCAGGACTCCCACCGCACCCCCTCTCCCTGGGCCGTGGCTCTCTGCAGAATAAGAGCTCGGGGAAGCGCCCAGAGGGCCTGCCCTCTCAGCAGCTCAGGGACGAAGAGTCTGGATGCACTCCTGTGCTTCCTGAGTTTTCCTCATCTGTAAAATGGGGAGAAGGACAGTGCCTCCCTCCTAGGGCAACCGTGAGAGTTAATTAGTACGCGCAGAGCCATTTGCAGGCACGTGGGAGGTATTATATAAACACTCCTTATGTTTATTAATATTCCCCATTCCAGAAATGTGGGCCGGGGACAGTGGGGAGCCCACAGCCGTGGATGGAATGGGTGAGAGTTCCTGCTTCCCCCTAATCATCATCACCCCTTGATTCTGGGTTCCCTCGGACCCCCTTCTAGGAGGACGCGACATCACGGCAGCCCATGGAAAGAGACCAGGGAATGAGACTCTAGCTCCGACCCTGCCCTCGGGTGACCCTGGGGACTGCCTTGGCTTCTCTAGCTCTCCAGCGTGGGTTGGCCACACTGCCCTGCCGAGTTGCCAGGCCATCCTAGGGGACCGGACAGGATCACCAGGTGGCTCTCCCATATCCAGCATGGGTCAGGAGAAGCTGGACAGCTTACGGTAAAATGCTGGTTCCTGGGCCCTGCCCCAGGAGACTAGCTACCACAGATATCTCCCCAAATCTATGTGTTCCAGGCTCCCTCTCGGGGAACGCTGCACGTCTGACGTCACTTGCTCGTCTGACGTCACTTGCTCGTCTGCAGGGCACTCTACGCCCCTGCCTTTGCGGTCACAGCGGCCAGGGTCCAAGTGAGGAAGGTATAGTTTCTCGAAGTAAAGGAACGTGTGCAGTTAACGGTGAGTGGGAGGCAATGTCCAGCACCAGATCCGCCAGTCCCTTCTCCTTCACGATGCTCGGGGTGGGGCGGGGCGGGGCTGCGGCAGGCCGGTCTGTGCCGCTTGCCGTCACCTGGGGGCCGTGATGACATGATGCCTCAGAGCCCACCTGCTGTGGGGCCCGCTGTGCTGACTGAGAGCCTTTTAGCGAGAGGCTACTAATGTACCCTCCGTGCATGGCACATAGACCATTGCCCTCCCAAGGTCAAGAGCCCCCCGAGCCCATCATAGTGCCCGGCTTTCTGCAATTAGGGAGAGGACTGTTGTGTCTCCAGAAGGTCTTTCTGAAATCCCAGCCTATTCATGTACATGCACCATTCAGCCCCTTAGCAAGGCCTGAATTTTGTCCAGAAATTTCTCCGGAGGTTGATTCTCCAGTGCTGCAGACCCGCAGGGCCAGCTCCTCGCAGCCCCCTTTACCCACCCAGCAAAGGAGCGTGGATCCCGGCAAAGAGGACAGGCTGAGGTAGAAAGAGCCACCAAGACTCCCACCAGACCCTGCCACGTCTAAAAACAAGAAGCCAACCCTAAGGAGTCACCCTCAGGAAAGGGGTTAAGAAATAGTACTGGCCAGCCCCCCAAACGGCCCAGCAGGGAGGAGGGAGAACTCCCCTCCACACCTGTGCTCAGGCCAATAGCCACTGCTTTCCTGGCCTGTTCCTCTAAAACGCCCTCTCTCCCTCTTCTCTCTGAGTCCACCCACCATAGGGACGGCTGTCTTGGCTTCTCTGCTTCTATCCATCCCTCGTGCCCACCTCAGTCCCTTACTCCTCCTCCTAGAAGTCTTCATGTTCTCGGCACTTCCCCTTGCCCCTCTCGTTGGGCCTCTGATGGCCAGTGAAATGTGACTGGAAGCATCCGTGTCTCTTCTGGGCAAGGCAGCAAGCAGCTGATGGGTTTCCTCCTTTGTAACAAGTAACCAAACCCCTAACAGTGAATTAAGGGCTCTTACTATCTCGTGGAACAAGAAATCTCAAAAAGGCAACCCTGTGTCATCTCATGGTTCCAAGATGGTCATACAGCCGCCACGTATTCATCAGCTGTGGCCATGTAACAACGGACCCCAAAACTTAGTGGCTTAAAACAACAATAAACAGTTCTGATCTCACACCGTTTCTACAGGTTAGAAATTCTGGAGCAACCTGGCAGTGGAAGGTTGGGGGAAGGGGTTCTGTCGTGAGGTCTGTCATGAGGGGGCAGTCAACATGCTGGCCAGGGCTGCAGCCATCTGAAAGGCTTGGCTGGAGCTAGGGAGTGAGCTTCCAGAGCAGCTCCGTCACATGCCTGGCAAGTTGGTGCTGGTTATTGGCGGGAGGCCTCCGTTCCTCCCCACAGGGGTCCCTCCACAGGCCGCTTGAGTGTCCTCAGAACGTGGCAGCTGGCTTCCACCAGCACGAGCCATCCCTGAGAACAAAGCTGAAGGATCCTCATCTTTTTTTTTTTTTTTAAGTATATGTGCTGCCGAAGCGAGCGCGATCCGCGTCTTTTTTTGACCTATCTTTGAAAGGCACACACCTTCACTTCTGTCACATTCTCTTCCTTAGAATCAGGCCCACGGTCAAGGAGAGAAGAATGGAAGCTCCAGCTTTGGGAGGGAGGGAGATTGAGGCATTCGTGGACATATTTAAAACAAAACAAAACAAAACAAAAAACCACCACAAACAGTGTCCATACTGGAAGACAGGGAAGAAAGCAAAAAAAGAAGGAAAAATGAGACACTGAGACAGTGAGTAATCCGCAAATAGGATACCCGATCACTTTATTAAGAGCTTTTCATACCATCAACCTGAAGTGAATCTCTTCCAGAGTCTGCCCTGAGGAAGGTGTTTGCTCACTGTGACGTGAGCTTTGTCCCTTGGGGTGGCATGGGTTCAGGGGCAGGGACCTGACACTGTGTCCCCGACCAGCCACACCTGCTCCGCAGCCCTCAGCCACGGGGTTGGCCCGTGCGACCCTGAGCAAGGTCAGTCGCCCTCTCTGAGCCTCCGTTTCGGGCTCTGGATGAAAGGAATGCCTGCTTCCCAGGATCCCAGGAGTGACTGAACACGCTCTGTAATCTATGAAGCGTGGGGCCCTTGAGCATTCTGCTCATTGCCATTTGCCCTGGGTTTTGGGTGAGGCCAGATCCCACCAGAGGCTTTTTGTCCTCCCGTTCTGCCCATCTAATTTCCAACACACGGTGCTCAGGCACAGAGAGGAGAACCGGGCACAGAGGCCAAATCCCAGCCTAGAAACAGGGGTGCATATTGTCAACGCCTCCGGCAACGGCACCCCACCCAGCCGAGGGAGCCTCGTTCCCAGCCCCACTTAACAACGCGCAGCCTGATTTAATATGAGCAGCTGATCTCATTGCTTCCATAGCAAGTTTAATTTGCTGGGAAAGCGAGTTGGTGAAGTTCTAATAATGCAGAGCGGCAAATAATACCAAAGAGAGTTTGCATTATGATAACTTTCCAATTAAAATGGATTAATGGAGAAGAAACGGCAGCAGTGGTGTCTAGACAACATATTACTAAATCCTTGGAGAGGGAGATGGAAGGGAGTTGGGGGGGACAAGAGGAAGCAAAAGGAACGGGGCACGTCTTGAGTTGGAGGCGCCCGGGGCGGTGTGTCGGGAGGTACCAGGCGTGAGCTCCTTGGCCCCATCTGCTACAGAGCGCACGCTTTCCGGCATTTGGGAGAACCGGTCTTGTAGGACCCAAAGGCCTTTGGTCTCTGGACCTCTTTAATTAAAATGCAAATAGTGCCTTCAGGTTCCCCGGGCTGGCCTGTGTCGGGGATTCGCCCGCAGCTACCTGAGAGCCCTGGAAGGCCCTGGCTAGGAGTCAGGAGACCAGCACAGACAGATGGACGCGTCTGGGCTTCGCTGCAGGACGCGGAACAGTTCCTCCACATCCGAGCCGATGACCCTGAACCCTGACCACTGCCCAGTGATCCAGGTGAGTCCATTCAGAACCTCTCTCCCGGGAACCTGAGCGTGAGACCGGAGAGAGCCAGGGCCGGCGTGGCATGGGAGCTGGGGCTCGTTCCTGCGGGCACTTCTCGCGGAGAAAGCCTACAAGCTGGGGCTCTGGTCTTGAGCAGCCCCGGGGCCCTGCCCTTTAGAGGCAAGCCGGGCAAGTGTCTTGCCATTCTGCGAGGCGCCCCAGGATCCATGTCCTTCCCCTTTGCTTAAGCTGACTGGCCATTTTCTGTTGCCTGCAAACAAAAGAACTTTAACAGATCTATCATTTCTTCTCTGTGGGACCAAGGGAAAGTCACTTCACCCCTCTGAGCCTGCTTTCTCTAAGATGGGGATGCACACATAGCTACCTTGTGAGGTCGGTTGCTGCCCGCGTTGGTATAATGATGTGTTAGGGGTAGATCTCCATTTAGGTCTCTCTCAGGTCTGGAGTGGGGGCGGTTTGTAAGTGGGTCCTTAAGAGGTTGGCTGGACCCCAGGGGCAGGTAGATCTGGAAGCCCAAGGACCATAATTTTACCGGCATCACTACCTTGCAGGGCATAATAATGAGCATCTCAACACCACACTGAGGCTCCTTCCAGAAATCCCTAATGTTCCCCCTCTGCCTGGGAAGGCTCTGATTTCTTGCAAAGCCCATGAGGCCCTGAGCCAGGCCCTAGTGGACCAAGTTCTGGCCATGTGCTGCCCCCTGCAGGCCTTCACTTCTTATCAAATAGGCGAAGAAAAAGCCCATGTGAGCAGATGCAGCCCCACGTGCAGTATTCAGCAGAGTCACCCCATTTTATCTCATTCTCCCAGGTCCCTTGCTGTCTGCAGATGGATATGAAACTACGACTGAAAACACATAATTCTGGGGATAAAGGAAAATATGAGACAAGAAACAACCGGGGATAAAAAGATCACCACTTCATATTCAACAACACTCCACTTCATCCCCCCACCCACACACACACCCAGAACTGTGTCCAGGGCAGCCTTGAGGGGAAGGGTGAGGGGGGTCATATTCATGCTGTGGATCATGCATCATATTCTCATTATCTCATTGTTGTCATGATCTTTCAGGCTGGAAATACAAATCCCCATTTTACAGATGATGAAACTGAGGGTCAGAGTAGTTCACTTGCCCAAAGCCAAACAGTTCATAAGTATAAAGTCTGTTTGAATCCAAAGACTTCCCTCTTCACCAATGTTCTTCAACCTTTTTTTGAAAGTAGAAACTGTGTCCCCAAATGAAATCCCATGCCCAGGGTATAAAAGGAATACTAAAAACCTTGCTCTCTGGTTGAGCTGGGGAGTGATCATATAGAGGAAGGGAGACAGCTTGTCCACCACTGCCCACCCAGCCTCGAGATATGCCCTCCCCTGTCCTGGAGCAGTCCTTGGGCACAGATGCTGAGACCCTGTCCAGTTTAGGGTGAGAACTGCTGCTTCCTTCTCAGGCAGGTTTTGTTGGAGGCCCTAGATAAAACCAACAACGTTTTCCAATTGACCCAAAAGAAAGAGCTCCAGCTTTGGGGATCTGGGTGGAAATTCTGGTTCTGCCACTTATTAGCTCTGCAAGTTTCTCAGCTAATTGGAGCTTTCCCAGGATACTATCGTCCAGCACCGCCCAGTAGAAATATCATGCGAGCCACACACGTCATTTTAAATTTTCTAGTAGCCACATTAAAGGAAAGGTAAAAAGGTAAACCAGTATTACTCACATTTTTCTTTACTATATTCAAAACATTATTATGTCAACATATAATCAATATAAAAAATTATTAATGAGCTATTTCACACCGTTTTCTGTACGGAGTCTTTAAAACTCCTTGCATACTTTACACGTTCAGCACATCTCAATTCCGACTTTCAATTTACATTGGAAATCCTTGATCTTTATTTAGATTTCATAAAATTTATAGTTGAAGAAGTAAATTCACATAGCCAAGTTGTTCCAAACATGCTTAAAAGTTTTCCAATAACTGGATTGACTAACAGTTTTTAAATAGAAATTAAAGTTAAATAAAATTGGTTTGGCTGGCAAGAAACAGAGACCCTCTCGAAATATCTTCCTATAACGGTCCGGGAGTGGGAAGGCTTCAGAAAGCTGCCGTAGGGACACAGGATAAGAGTTAAAGTCCAGCCAAGCCTCGGAGGCCCCTGTTGAGCGGAGGGGCATAGCCAGGCAGGTGCTGCTGATATTAGAGGGCCACACCTCCCCAGAGGCCTTTAACCCCTTCCCTAGGAATCTCTAGGGCTTCCTTCCCGTGGCTCAGTTTCCCCAGTAAGTACTGCTGTAAAACCTTCATGTCCACAGTGCCTGGGGAATATTTGTAGAAAAGACTCCACTTTTAGAGAATGAGCTCCTCCCCTGCTTGCCTGTTTCCCTTTTTTTTTCTTCAGCCTTTAAAAACTGTGATAAAATGGGACACCTGGGTGGCTCATTTGGTTGGGCATCTGCCTTCAGCTCAGGTCGTGATCCCAGGGACCTGGGATCGAGTCCCACATTGGGCTCCAGGCTCAGCGGGGAGCCTGCTTCCTCTGCCTCTCATGCTCTCACACCTTCACTCCTCTCGTTCATGCTCTCGCTCGCTCGCTCGCTCTCTCTCAAATACATAAATAAAATCTTAAAAAAAAAAACCTGTGATAAAATACACAGCACAGAATTTACCATTTTAACCATTTTCAAGAGCACAGTTCTGTGGCAGTAAGTACATTCACATTGTGCTACCCTGCCCATCGTCCATCTCTAGAACTCTTCCATCTTCCCCACCTGAAACTCTGTCCCAGTAAACACCAGCTCCTCATCCCCGCCCCCCATCAACCCCTGGCCACCGCCATCCTACTTCCTGTTTCTGTGGATTTAAGTCTTCCAGGTACCACATTCAGATAAAATCATGTAATATTTGTATGACTCTTTTTATGCCTGATTTATTTGACTTAATATAATGTCTTCAAGGTTCATCCATGTTGTAGCACGTGTCCGAATTTCCTGCCTTTCCAAGGCTGAGTAATATTTCATTGTATTTCTATCCTAGGCTTTGTTTATCCATTTATCCATCAATGGACACTTGGGTTGTTTCACTTTTGGCTCTTGTGAATAGTGCTCCTAAACACAGGGGTATACAAATATCTCTTCAAGACCTGGCTTTCACTTTTGGGGGGTACATACCCAGAGTGAAATTGCATATGGTAATTGTATGTTTAATTTTTTGAGGAATCACCACACCATTTTCCACAGCAGCTGTGCCATTTTGCATTCTCACCAGCAGTGCAGAAGGGCTCCGATTTCCCCACATCTTGCCAACGCTTGTTATTTTCTGGGTTGCTGGGGTTTTTTTGTTTTGTTTTGTTTTTTATAATAGCCATCCTAATGAGTATGTAGTGGTATCTCATTGTAGTTTTGATTTGCATTTTCCTACTGATTAGTGATGTTGAATATCTTTTCATATGTTTATTAGACGTTTGTGTATCTTCTTTGAAGAAATGGCTATTCAAGTTCTGCGCCCATTTTTAAATCAGGGTGCTTTGCTGTTGCTGAGTTGTCAAAGCTCTTTATATATTCTGGATATCAATCCTAATCAGGTATATATGATTTGCAAATGTTTCCTCCCATTCTGTGGATTGCCTTTTCACTCTGTTGATAGTGTCCTTTGATGCACAAGAGTTTTTAATTTTGATGACGCCATCCTTTCTATTTTTTTTTTTTAAGATTTTATTTATTTATCTGAGAGAGAGAATGAGACAGAGAGAGAGAGCATGAGATGGGGGAGGGTCAGAGGGAGAAGCAGACTCCCTGCTGAGCAGAGAGCCCGATGCGGGACTCGATCCCGGGACTCCAGGATCATGACATGAGCCGAAGGCAGTCGCTTAACCAACTGAGCCACCCAGGCACCCTATTTTTTTCTCTATTGCCTGTACTTCTGGTGTCATATGCAAGAAATCCTTGCCAAATCCAATGTCTTGAAGTTTTTTTCTTCTATTTTCTTCCCAGAGTCTCATAGTTTCAGATTTTACATTTAGGTCTTTAATCTATTTTAATTTTTTCTATGATGTGAGGTAAAGGTTCAACTTCATTTTTTTTGTCAATGTGGATATCTCGTTTTCCCAGTGTCGTGCATCGGGAAGACTGTGTTTTCAGGGCGCCTGGGTGGCTCAGTCAGTTAAGCGTCTGCCTTCGGCTCAGGTCACGATCCCAGGGTCCTGGAATCGAGCCCCGCATCGGGCTCCCTGCTCGGCGGAAGCCTGCTTCTCCCCCTCCCACTCTCTCTGCTTGGGTTCCCTCTCTCGCTGTCTCTCTCTGTCAAATAAACAAAATCTTTAAAAAAAAAAAGACTGTTTTCCCCCATTGAATGGTCTTGGCACCCTTGTTGAAAACCTCTGGCGGGGCACAGAGTGCCCTGAATGGTCAGTCCTCTGGGTAGGAGGACAGGCTCCATCGCTGATCCTTATGGTGCCGTGCAGAGCCTCTTTGTGGGCCTTACTGTCCTCCCCTGTAAACTAGGCAGGTAGGACTTGATCATCTGTAGGGTCCTTTGAGGAAGTCAGAGGTCAGGGAGGCAAAGAGAACGTGGCCGTGGCAGGAGTGAGGCTCTGGGCCTCTGTTCACCCATGTCACTGCTCTGTCGCATCCCGGCTCATGGAAGGAAACTCCCCATGATTTCCTGCAACTCGTCACGTCTTTCTGCAACCCTTGTGGCTTTAAAGCAGTGATAAATTACTTGAACTATAATTATTAGAATAATAACCCCTTGCTCTGCAGTATGTAAAGGACTGTCACACCCATGGCTTGGTTTATAAATGAGGAAACCGAATCCCACGGAGGGGGTGTTCCTTGCCCCTAGCTAGGCTAATCAATAGTGTACCTGGTCTAGATTAAAGTGAATCCCAGTTCAGCTGCCTAAAAGGCTGTGTGCCCACCCCTGGATAATGAGGCAGTTAGGAGAAAGGGGAAATAGAAGGAGAGAGAAAGAAAAAAACTAAGAAACTTGAATCATCTATTGATTTAATACAGTTAATTTTCCACAAGGTCTAAAGGAAATGGAAAATCAAAAGGTGGACTCCGAATGTAATAAAATAATGCACAAATATTTACAGTAGTCCTGATCTGGTCCAAAAGGGAAGACCAGCACTACCCTCCACGCTCACTCCAGCCCACGCCCCTGTGCCTCTCTGTGCCAAAGCATTTAGCTCGCAAGCGATGCCAGGCTCTTCTCTTCCCTAGCATCTCTTCATGTGGCTGATTACTTTCCCCAGGCCACACCCAAACTCCGCCATTTCCTTCCCAGATGAAATGCTAGAATCACAAGATGACAGGTAAGGATGTGGATAGTAAACGTAAGTCTGCACAGTATGGGAAAAGTGGAGACAGAGATTACGTGAGAGAGACAGAAAGATAAGGAAATAGGAAGAGACAAAGACTAACACAAAAACTTTTACTTTCAAACAACATCTTTTTAAAAAATTTTTTTAGTTAAATTCAAGTTAGTTAACATATAGTGTATTATTAGTTTCAGGGGTAGAATTTAGTTGATTCATCAGTTGCATAGAACACCCAGTACTCATTACATCAAGTGTCCTCCTTCATGCCCATCACCCAGTTACCCCATCCCCCACCCCTCTCCCCTCCAGCAACCCTTTGTTTGTTTCCTAGAGTTAAGAGTCTCTTAGGGTTTTTTTACAAGAGTGCCAAGACCATTCGGTGGAGAAGAGAATAGTCTCTTCCACAAATGGTTCTAGGACAACTGGATATCCGCATGGAAAAGAGTGAGGGTGGGCCCTTCCCTTCTCCCATATTCAAAACTTAACACAAATGGATCAACAACCTAAATATAAGAGCTAAAACTTTACAAAACTAGCAGAAGAACACAGAGGGGTAAATCTTCATGACGTTGGATTTGCCAATGGATTCTTAGATTTGACACTAAAAGCACAAGCAACAAAAGAAAACACTGATAAATTGGGCTTCACAAAAATTAAAACTTTTGTACATCAGAGAATATTACCAAAATGTGAAAAGACAACCTACAGAATGGGAGAAAATATTTGCAAATCGTATGTCTGATAAGTATCCAGAGTCTATAAAGAACACTTACAACACAACAACAAAAAGACAAAGAGCCCAACTCATAAAAGGCCAAAGAATTTGAACAGATATTTCTCCAAAAAAAAAGGTATACAAATGACC